ATGCCATCCTCAGCTCCATGGTAGCTTTGGCCTGTCTAACTGCCTCCCTACAAGTGCGAGCAGAGGAAGTATACTCCTCTTTAGTAATCTCTCCCCATTTCCACTTTTTATATGCCCCCCTTTTTGCCTGTAGGCTGCTCTGGATTTCTCTGGTCAGCCAAGGAAGCCTCTTGGCCCCTTTCCCCCTTTTTCCCCGCATCGGGATCGTCTGCCTCTGTGCCCAAAGGATCCTTTTCTTAAGGCACAGCCACCCTTCCTGGGCTCCCATCTCTTCAAAACTCTTACTCTGCAGCGCGTCCTTGACTAAACGCCTGAGTTCATTGAAATCAGCTTTCCTAAAGTCTAGCACTTTCACCCTACTAGTTACCTTACCCACTCGACGTCTTATGATTAATTCTATTATTTGGTGATCACTGTCCCTCAGGTGACCACCAATCTGTAGGTCTCCTACTATGTCATCCCCCGTTGCCAATACCAGGTCCAGTAAGGCATTCCCCCTAGTGGGACCATGTACCTCCTGCGTCAGATGGAGGTCCTGTACACCGGATAGGAACCTGCATGAACAGTGGGACTTTTCTGTCTGCGTCTCCCAGCAGATGTCTGGGTAGTTTAGGCCCCCCATGACTACCGCCTCTTTAGCTTTTATGGTCTCCGAGAGCTGCCTCAGGAGCCCCAAATCTAGTTCTTCCCCTTGATGTGGGGGTATGTAGCAGACCCCTACCACCAAATCCCTTTCTCCTTGACCTCCATGTAACCTAACCCACAATCCTTCTACTTTCTCCTCCTCCGATTCTGTTTTGATAAGGGTCGATGTATATCATTCATTGACAAAGAGTGCAACCCCTCCCCCTCTCTATCCTTTCTGTACAGCTTATAACCCTCAATGTGTACTGCCCAGTCATGGGAAGAATCCCACCAGGTTTCTGTTAGCCCTACTAAGTCGTACTTGTTATAGAGCGTCATGTTTCTGTTATCCACTGTGTCATTACCAACTTGAGCTGTTCTGCCTGGTCTTCTTCTGTATAACAGGTATCCATCAACATTACCTCTGTAAACTCCTTCGTATATTTCTTCAGACACTGATGATTTTCCATGCACAGTGCCATGAATGCCACATGCCCCTGGAAGCTGGGGGGGCATGGCGAGCTCCCGCGCGCAGCAGCAGCACTGTTGGCAGCAGGAGTGGGACAGCAGGAAGCAGGGAGGTTCTGCAGGCAGCCACGATGCTGTCGGCAGCAGGGAGGGGGGTGATGAGCGCTGACCAGCGGTTGGCGACCACCCGCACACTGCCAGTGGTGGCCAGAAATGATCGCGGACTGCCTGCAGAAGCTGCTGGCGGTGTCGGCGGCATGGGGGTGGGGGTGGCGAGAGGCACCTTTTCACAGGGGGTGCACCGCCACAACCCCCTATGTGTTGCCAATGCACAGTGCATTTGGATTCAATCCTCCACACGGTCCATGAAGCATACATCTCATCGCAATGATCTTGGCTCAATAGACAATGCACTATTGTACGATCAAATGTTTGTTTCAAAATTCTGGTAATGCTTGTTACATGAGAAGTTTCAGTGGGACTACTTGGGTGAGTAACAGCTCATCAGTGTGAGTAAATGGCTGATGATCTGGTCCACAGCGTTAACCAGATTGCAATTTGGTAAACAGGCCTTTTTGTTCCCATAAAGGGAAGAGGAAGGTATTCTTGTGGTAAATCAGTGCATGGCTTTGGTTCATCAATCTCCAACAAATCAGTGTCCCAGGACTCTGCCAGTATCCCTGTACTTTCTGCGGAACATAAAATACTGTCAATATTCCGGAACACCTGCATGAAAATAGAGCAATCAATTCCCACCCGAGCCCTCCTTCATAGCTGTGGCTTCCTCAGTGAGAAATGCAATTTCTAACATGAAACTTCCACCCCTCACCCAATCCCTTCTTTGGGCTTGATCAGTACCTGCACCTCTCACTGAAGTTGTCCTGCATGTCTCAGGGTCAAGAGACTGAGACCTTCAAATTACACTGCTGTCACCATATCTGCAGATGTGGAGATGTTTGGAAAGATGGAATGAAGGCAGATCTGCTGGGGGCTGGAGAGGTGCAGATGCTAAAGCTGCACAATTGATAGGTCAGAGGTTGCAAGTTTAAGGCCATAGTGGAAGTGTTTGTAAGTGCAGCCCTGTCAGATTTCAACAAATCTGCAAATTTGGCTAAAATACCCTTGTCACCAGGACATGAAGAAGAAGGAATGTTGCATGTCCTTCTATGCCTGTACTCTGCCTACTATTTGATCATGATTCTGGTATTTCTAGAATACCTGGGTTCACACAAGTGCAAATTCCTTCCGACTATATGCATGGCATAGCAAAGCATCCCTCTTCTGAAGTCCATGGTTCACTTACAGCAATCCAGTTTAGATGGGCACCACATCACATCTCATACAGTTGATGTCTGTCAGGTGTCATTCCAAGTACATAAAGCTAACTGTGAATAATGAGAACTCAGTGGCTGTTTCCTGTAGAATGCTGAACACATATGCTTTATCAGGAATTTTTTCATTGCGTTTATGGAGGCCTTCTCTTACCAGCATAGGTGGGGACAAAGTGCCAGCTGGATTTCTGATGCTTTAAAGGCAATACAGGCAACCCTCGCTTATTGTTCTTAATTGGTTCCAAGCGTTAAGTGGACCCGCATTAAGCGAAACCCATTTCCCCATAGGAATTAATGTAAATAAATATAATTCGTTACCAGGCTGGGCCATAGAGGCAGTACTGTTGGTCCCCTCCAAGCAGCAGGAGGGGAGGGGGTGGTCATCGCCACAGTTGTGGTCACTCCAGGCCAGCTCCCCCTTCTCTCCGCTGGCACAGTCCAGCCTGGCTCCATAGAGCCCCTGCCAGCCCAGGCCCCATGCACCTGCTGCCCCACCCTGGGCCTTCACAGGCCTTGGCCCTGGGGCACCAGTGCAGGCCCTGTGCTCATGTCCGCCCACCCACTCACTGCCACTCACCTCCCTGCCTGCCAGCGCCATTTCCCTGCTTTCCTGCCTGCCACTGCCATTTCTCCCCACTCCTGTTCACCCGCTCAGCGTTATAATGAAACTCACTGAGCGCTAAGTGGAATCAGGTATGATTTTAAAATGAGCACTATGGTGAAATGGCACTAAGCAAAACCGTGTTAAGGGGGGGGAGGGTTGCCTGTATTCTATGCAGTTGTTGCAAGATTGTGATTTCTCCTAAGTAAATCATTGATTGTAAAAACAAGTCCATCCAAAGGTGCATCTCAAGCCGGTCCAGAGAGGTGATACTCCCCCTCTGTGTGACTTTGGTCAGGCCGCAGTTGGAGTACTGCATCCAGTACTGGGCGCCGCACTTCAAAAGGGACGTGGCCTGCCTGGAGAGGGTTCAGAGGAGGGCCACCCGCTTGGTGAGTGGGCAGGACAGGTCCTACGAGGAGAGACTGAAGGACTTGAACCTGTTCAGCCTCAGCAAGAGGAGGCTGAGGGGGGACCTGGTGGCTGCCTACAAGCTCATCAACGGGGATCAACAGCAAATAGGTAGAGCCCTTTTCTCCCCAGCACCCCCTGGGGTGACGAGGAACAATGGGCATAAGCTGATGGAGAATAGGTTTAGGTTGGAGATCAGAAGGCAGTATTTTACAGTTAGGGTGGCCAAAATCTGGAACCAACTTCCCAGGGAGGTGGTCCTCGCCCCTACCTTGGGCAAATTCAAGAGGAGGTTGGATGATCACCTGTCTGGGGTCTTGTGAACCCAGCATTCATTCCTGCCTGTGGCAGGGGATCGGGCTAGATGATCTGTTCAGATCCCTCCCGACCCTAGCTACTATGAAACTATGGAGCCTCAGAACGGGCTTGGATGAAGTGTGAAGATGACACCACCAGACAAACCTGCCCAGTAGACTGGAGCGCTGAGTCCTGTTCCTGGCGCTTATCTGACTGCAAGACTTCACCAATGTGTGCCTCAGTCTGACCATCCATCAACAGTCAGGGATAATGATACAAATCCCCAGCTCCTCCATGAAGCACTTTAAAGCTGCTGATAGAAAGTGCTATAGAGGAGCCAGGTGCTAGTATCTGGTCGATCTGCTTGTTTCACTCGGTTTTTCATGTAGAAGACTGGGGCTGTCTAAACTGCTCCCTGCCCCAGCGAGCTACAGGCTGGCCTGAGATCAGCCGCCAAGCAGGTCATTAGCACTGGGGGGCAGGCGCAGGAGGAGGGGGGCTCCAGCGCTCCGGCTCTGCAGCTACATCATTCAGCCATCTGACAGGTCATCCGCGGTCGTTCTCCACTGCACAGCCGCCTGCTGGCTTCTGCCTTTATGTCCCTTCACTGCAGGCTGCGTCTTTCTTCTGGCACCGGCTCCGTGCTCAGGCGGCCCCGTCCTTATCACAGCGCGGCTCTGCGGCAGGAAGCCCTTGCGATCAACCCATTTTAGAGACAGAAACACCGCGGCGCCCGCTGCCCGGCGCGCACGCCCCGCCCTGACGCAATCGGTCGGCCGCTTTGCTCCATGCTCCGCTCTGCGCCGCGAAAGAGCCCGGCGCAGTTGCATCATTCGCCAAGAGTGCGCGAGCTCCGCCCGGCCAATCCGCGCGGGGGCGGCTTCCTCACGAGATGGACGGCTCCGCTACCCAATCAGAGCGGGCAGGCCCCAAAGGCGGAGCGGGGGCGGGGCCAC